GCTGGGACCGCGACAAACTTCGCCTTTCGCCGCGCGCCGAAGTTTCAAACGGCTGGCGCAGGCGCAGAAGGGACCGCGCGGTCTTCTGGGAAGCCGACAGCGATCGGGCCCGCCCCCTCCCGCTCGGGGCCGGCGCCCCGCCCTCCAAAGCCACGCCCCCGCCCTCCCCCCGCCGCTCTGTCTTCCCCGCCTCCCGGCGGAGTCTCCGGCAGAAGAGCTGGAGGCTGCGCCCGCGGTAAGGCTGGGCTGTCGTTGGCCGGGAACGGTCTTGGGAATCGCCTCTGCCCCTGGAACTCAGCGTCAACTTCTATTCTGGAATACAGAGCCATACTTGGAAGAATAAGCGGTAGAAATTGAAGGCGACTCTTTGGGGTTTTTTTCCTTGTTTTTGGTTTTTGTTTCTTTTAGACCAACTGTCCCTTCCGGGCAGTGGCTCCATCACAACTTACTACAGCCTTGCTGTCCTAGACTCAAGCGATCCTCTGGCCTCAGCCTCCCGAGTAGCTGGGACTACAGGCGTTTTTGTGTTTTGTTTTTGGTTTTTTTAATTTTTCTGTTGCCCGGGTTGGTCTCAAACTCTTGGACTCAAGTGATCGTCTTGCCGCAGGCTCCCGAAGCCACAGTGCCCAGCCTGCCTTCAACATGTGTTGAAGAGAAACACTGCCCTGAGCTGATTGGTCAGCTACACCCAGCCCATACATAATCTCTGGAAAATAAAAATACTGCAGAATAGTCATGGCTTGCATTCCTTTTTCAAATATGTGGATAATACTTTTATGATGCATTGCCAAGAAAATGGCCTATATAAATATATATCGTCTAAGTATGATGTCCTGAAAAGAACTCTATAACAAAAGTCCTGAAACTTAGTAGAATCCTCCTCAGCAATAAAAACAAACTACTGATACAAACAACAATATAGATTAATTTCAAAAGCTCATACTAAGTGAAAGAAACTAGACATCAATGAGTACATAAAAAAGAAGTCAAATCAGTGATTGCTAAGGGAAAAGGTAAGTGGAAGAAAAAAGAATAACTATAAAGGGGCATGAGGGAACTTTTTGCAGTGGTGGAAATATTCTCTCTTGATTATGGTGGTCACTACATAACTATAACATACTTGTCAAAACTCTTAAAACTGTGCTCCTGGTGGCTCACGCCTGTAATCAGCACCTTGGGAGGCCGAGGTGGGAGGATTGCTTGTGCTCAGAAGTTGGAGACCAACCTGGGCTTCAGAGTGAGACATTTTCTCTACAAAATCTTATGAGTGTGTTAGTGCCTGTAGTCCCAGCTACTCACGAGTCTGTGGCAGGAGGATTGCTTGAGCCAAGGAGGACTAGGCTAAGGTGAGCCTGTATTGTGCCTCTGTATGCCAGCCTGAGTGAGTGAGACAGACCCTGGCTCAAAAAAAAAGTGACTTTTACTGTAAGTTACACCTCAATAAATCTGTGATAGAGAATGAGAAGGAAATACAAATGTACTATGTGAAAACCAAATCCAGTGTGTAAACAGAGTCTGGTTCAAAACAAAGTAGCCACCAAGAATATTAAGCAGCTGGATGCCATGGCTCATGCCTGCAATCCCAACACCTGGAGGCCAAGGCTGGAGGATTGCTTGAGACTAGGAGTTTGAGACCAGCCTGGGCAGCAGAGTGAGACTTCATCTCTTCAAAAACTTATCCAAGTGTGTTAGTACATGCCTATAGACCCAGGTACTTGGGAGGCTGAGGCGGAAGAATTGCCTGAGGTCAGGAGATCAAGGCTGCTGTGAGTGGTGATCGTGCTACTGTACTCCAGCCTGGGCAAGAGAGTGACCCCTCAACCCAGGGAAAAAAAAAAAAGTATTAAGCAACAAGTGAAAAATGGAAAAAAATAATATTTATTATGAGATGGTATTAGGAAATTGTAAAATTTTCTGCCAGGCGCGGTGGCTCACACCCAGTACACTGGGAGGCAGAGGTGAGAGGACTGCCTGAGCCCATGAGTTCAAGACCCCCCTGGGCAACTTGGCAAGACCTCATCCCTACAATAAAAAAAAATTAGCCTGGCGTGGTGGGCGCGAGCCTGTGCATTCAGCTACTTGCAAGGCTGAAGCAGAAGGATCGCCTGAGCCCAGCAGATCAAGGCTGCCAGGGCTGTGAGTAAGCCATTGCACTCCAGCCTGGGCGACAGAAAGAAAATTTTTTTTCTTAGGAATTACAGTTATTTGGTTTATATGCTAGAATGTCCTTACTTTAGTGTATACATATTATTCTAAAAATCTTGTAATATTTGTAAGTATTTTGAAATGGTTAATCAAAAAGAGAGTGCGATAGTTAAATAAATATGGCAAAATGTTAACAGCTATTGATGGCTAGTGTATAGGTGTTTACTAATGCTACTACTCTCAAATTTTCTGTGTGCTTGAAATCTTTCATAGTAAAATGATGAGGAAACGCAACTTTAATAAAATTGCTTAAGTTCTTAAATTTTATTTTCTAAAAGTATTTTTTTTAATTTTTTTATTATGGTTTTGTGGGGTACAGTTGAGGGTTAGGTATACAATTACGTTTCATTCAGGTACCCTGTTGATAAGAGGTGTTTCCCCATCCCCAGACAGATATTTGCTACTGTTAATCCCATCTCCCTCCTCCCCCCATAGTTTCCTAGTACCGTCAGTCATTTTCTTATAGTATTACATTGGATGTTCAAGGTCCATTATATGAGTGAGAACATGTGATACTCGGATCTTTGTTTCTGTGAGAGGTCACTCAGTATTATAGACTCTAGTTACATCCAGGTTGCTGCGAAATTCATGATTTTGTTCTTTTTTATGGCTGCGTAGTAGAACAGACACTTCACAAAAGAAGACATCCGAGCAGCCAACAAACACATGAAGAAATGCTCAACCTCACTAATCATCAGGGAGATGCAAATCAAAACCACACTGAGATACCACCTAACTCCAGTCAGAATGGCAATTATCAACAACTCAAAAAATAACAGCTGCTGGAGAGAGTGTGTTGAAAAGGGAACACTTCTACACTGTTAGTGGGAACGCAAATTAGTGCAAATCTGTGGAAAACAGTATGGCGATTCCTAAAAGCTCTAAATATTGACCTCCCCTATGACTCCACAATCCCCCTGATGGGAATATACCCTGAAGAACTCAAATCACTCTATAAAAAAGATACCTGCACACGTATGTTTATCGCAGCGTTGTTCACAATAGTAAAAACCTGGAAACAACCATGCTGCCCATCAAAAGAGGACTGAATTAAAAGTATTTTTTTAGACAAAGTCTTGCTCTGTCACTCAGGCTGTAGTATAATGACACTTTCTAAACTTATAACCTAAGTAACTTGGGACTCCTGGGCTCAAGTAATCCTCTCTCCCAAAGAGCCCAACTATAACTTAATTTGCTAAAGTAAAATAAATTTATAAAATTTATATTTTTTACTTTGTCAGATATTGGTTTCTCTGCTAAATAGACTGATTTTGAGTAGACTTTTCTGACAAAATTATCCTCAGAATTACTGTACTAAACCATAATCGCTACGTGAATAAAGTGTGCTTGCAGTGTGCAGGTAGGTGGCAGCAATGAACACAAAAACACAATTTTCTATGTGATGAGTTGTTAGGGTCTGCAATGAGTCCTTAACTGTAAAGCACTATGTTAACTGATTTTTACAATTCCTAACCTTTGTGGCAACCATTTAATTCTTAGTTGCAATTATATTCTGTCAGGTACACATTGTTTCTCTTAACCTAAGAACACAACAAATAACACTACTCTGGGGGTTCTCTTTCTGTATCCTGTACATTAATTCTTCTCTCACAAAAAAGAACTTTTGTTATCGAGAACACTTAAGTTTTCAAAAGCTTAATAATATGGTTCTGCATATAAATTTAGCTTTGCAAAGACTTCAGCTACTTAAGTTTTGACTGAAAACTTGCACCAAAAAAAAATGTAAGACTTGACTTTTATATTTCAAGCAGTTATTGCTTTGCAAAGTGGTGGTGGGACCCTAAAAATGACCAAGCAAGCTGAAATCATGCAGAGTGATCTTAATAATCAGTGGGAAAATTATGATTGTTTTATGATCTTTAAAATTTTTGTCGGGCACCCCCCTCAGGTCCCCTCCCGCTGTGGGAGCTTTTCTTTCCTCTCAATAAATCCTGCTTTCCAAAAAAAAAAAAAAAAAAAGTCAAAACAGTAGCAAACTCTCCTACTGTCAGTTATAAGTTTACACGGAAATAAAACAATGATAGAACATGTTTATTTGGTACATTGTAAC